ACGAAATCCTGTACGAAATCCAGTCCGAAATCCCGTACAAAATCGAAATCCCGTACGATATCCCGGACGAAATCGAAATTTCATACGAAATCGAAATCCCGTACGAAATCCCGTACGGAATCCCGTACGAAATCCCATCCGAAATCCCGTACAAAATCGAAATCCCGTATGAAATCCCGTACAAAATCGACATCCCATACCGAAATCGAATCCGTACGAAATCCCACACGAAATCGAAATCCCGCACGAAATCCCGTACGAAATCGAAATCCCGTCCGAAATCCCGTCCGAAATCCCGTCCGAAATCCTGTCCGAAATCCCGTCTGAAATCCGTCTGAAATCCCGTACAAAATCGAATTCCCGTACGAAATCCCGTACGAAATCCTGTACGAAATCGAAATCCCGTCCGAAATCCCGTCCGAAATCCCGTCCAAAATCCCGTACGACATCCCGTACGAAATCCTGTACGAAATCCCGTACGAAATCGAAATCCCGTATGAAATCGAAATCCCGTACGAAATCCTGTATGAAATCGAAATCCCGTACGAAATCTAAATCCAGTCCGAAATCTAAATCCCGTCCGATATCTAAATACCGTCCGAAATCCCGTCCGAAAACCCGTCCGAAAACCCGTACGAAATCTCTTACGAAATCCCTCACGAAATCCTGTACGAAATCCAGTCCGAAATCCGTACAAAATCTAAATCCCGTAAGAAATCCGTACAAAATCCCGTATGAAATCGAAATCCCATCCGAAATCCTGTCCGAAATCCCGTCCGAAATCCAGTCCGAAATGCCGTACAAATCCCGTACGAAATCCCGTACGAAATCCTGTACAAAATCCAGTCCGAAATCCCATACAAAATCGAAATCCTGTACGAAATCCCGTACGAAATCCCGTACGAAATCTAAATCCCGTACGAAATCCCGTACGAAATCGAAATCCCGTACGAAATCGAAATCCCGTACGAAATCCCGTACGAAATCCCGTCCGAAATCCCGTCTGAAATCTCGTCCAAAATCCCGTCCGAAATCACGTCCGAAATCCCGTCCGAAATCCCGTCCGAAATCCCGTCCGAAATCCCGTACGAAATCCCGTCCGAAATCCCATCCGAAATCCCGTCCGAAATCCCGAGATCCATTCCGAAATCGCGTCTGAAATTTCGTCCAAAATCCCGTCCGAAATCCCGTACGAAATCCCGTCCGAAATCCCGTCCGAAATCCCTCCGAAATCCCGTCCGAAATCCCGTCCGAAATCCCGTCCGAAATCCCGTCCGAAATCCCGTCTGAAATCCTACAAAATCGAATTCCCGTATGAAATCCGTACGAAATCCTGTATGAAATCGAAATCCCGTCCAAATCCCATCCGAAATCCCGTCCGAAATCCCGTCCGAATCCCGCCCGAGATCCCGTCCGAATTCCCGTCCGAAATCCTGTACGAAATCCCGTACAAAATCCTGTACGAAATCCTGTCCGAAATACCGTACGAAATCTAAAATCCCGTACGAAATCCCGTACGAAATCGAAATCCCGTACGAAATCGAAATCCCGTACGAAATCCCGTACAAAATCCCGTCCCAAATCCCGTCTGAAATCTCGATCAAAATCCCGTCCGAAATCACGTCCGAAATCCCGTCCGAAATCCCGTCCGAAATCCCGTCCGAGATCCAGTCCGAAATCGCGTCTGAAATTTCGTCCAAAATCCCGTCCGAAATCCCGTCCGAAATCCCGTCCGAAATCCCGTCCGAAATCCCGTACGAAACCCCGTCCGAAATCCCGTCCGAAATCCCATCCGAAATCCCGTCCGAAATCCCGTCTGAAATCCCGTACAAAATCGAATTCCCGTACGAAATCCCGTACGAAATCCTGTACGAAATCGAAATCCCGTCCGAAATCCCGTACGAAATCCCGTCCGAAATCCCGTCCGAAATCCCGTACGAAATCCCGTCCGAAATCCCGTCCGAAATCCCGTCCGAAATCCCGTCCGAGATCCAGTCCGAAATCGCGTCTGAAATTTCGTCCAAATCCCGTCCGAAATCCCGTCCGAAATCCCGTCCGAAATCCCGTCCGAAATCCCGTACGAAACCCCGTCCGAAATCCCGTCCGAAATCCTGTCCGAAATCCCTCTGAAATCCCGTCTGAATCCCGTACAAAATCGAATTCCCGTACGAAATCCCGTACGAAATCCTGTACGAAATCGAAATCCCGTCCGAAATCCCGTCCGAAATCCCGTCCAAAATCCCGTACGACATCCCGTACGAAATCCTGTACGAAATCCCGTACGAAATCGAAATCCCGTATGAAATCGAAATCCCGTACGAAATCCTGTATGAAATCGAATCCCGTACGAAATCTAAATCCCGTTCGATATCTAAATCCCGTCCGAAATCCCTCCAAAAACCAGTCCGAAATCCCTTCCGAAATCCCGTACGAAATCCTGTACGAAATCCAGTCCGAAATCCCGTACAAAATCGAAATCCCGTACGATATCCCGGACGAAATCGAAATTTCATACGAAATCGAAATCCCGTACGAAATCCCGTACGGAATCCCGTACGAAATCCCATCCGAAATCCCGTACAAAATCGAAATCCCGTATGAAATCCCGTACAAAATCGACATCCCATACGAAATCGAAATCCCGTACGAAATCCCACACGAAATCGAAATCCCGCACGAAATCCCGTACGAAATCGAAATCCCGTCCGAAATCCCGTCCGAAATCCCGTCCGAAATCCCGTCCGAAATCCCGTCTGAAATCCCGTCCGAAATCCCATCCGAAATCCCGTACGAAATCCTGTATGAAATCCCATACAAAATCCCATACGAAATCCCATACGAAATCTAAATCCCGTTCGAAATCCCGTACGAAATCGAAATCCCGTACGAAATCCCGTCCGAAATCGAAATCCCGTGCGAAATCCCGTTCAAAATCCCGTCGAAATCCCGTCCGAAATCCCGTCCGAAATCCCGGCCGAAATCACGTCCGAAATCCCGTCGAAATCCTGTCCGAAATCCCGTCCGAAATCCCGTACGAAATCCCGTACGAAATCCCGTACGAAATCCTGTACGAAATCCAGTCCGAAATCCCGTACAAAATC